GCAGCAGCAGCAGCAGCAGCAGGCGCAGCTTCGTTCTTCGCAGGCCGTCTGGCACTCGCAGTCTCAGCAGCAGCAAGCCTCGGCGCAGCAGCAGCACCCCAACGCAAGCGCCGCCGCCAGCTTTGCGCTGCCGCCGCACGAGTGGGCCGCTCGGCAAGCACACCGGCCCTTCATTGCCGACACGCATGCATGGCCCATCGGCCGCGCACCGGACGTGCTGTTCCCGCAGCAGCGCCGCTTTGCCTGAGCGGCGTGCCTCGGGCATGGCAGCGCATCGTCACCATCCTCTGCCTCGCTTCGTCACGCGCCCCGGTCTTGCGCTCTCGCCCCATCTCTCTCTCTCTACCTCATCTCGCATCTTCCGTCTCGTTTTCTCGTTCCCAGGGTCACTTCGCGCGCTCCACATCGACATCACATCAGTCTCGTCTTCATCCAGCACACCACACACACACACACACACACACACACACACACACACACACTCGCCTCAAACACATAGCCAGCTCTGGTAATCGACATCCAGCCATTCGAACAGCGCACAGAGAGGGAGAGGGACGGGGTAACGAGGAGAGGTGACGTGCGAGAGTAGCGCTACAGGACAGGGAGCGGAAGCGAGAGAGGGGTGAGGAGGCGCTGAGAGCGGAGACGCCGAGGCAGGCGGAACGGAGAGGGAGGCATGAGAGAAGAAGGGGCCGGCAGCGACGCCCAGTGCCGCGTCAGCGCAGCTCATCGGGCGCCGCAAAGGAGCGCCTCAGTTCGGCGACCTGATAGCGTGCGACGAGATTGTCTGTCGCGACGAAGAGATGCTCGCCTGATGAGATGCAGGGGACTTTGCATCAGCCGCGGCGCCCGGCGAAGGCGAGACGGGACGTGAGGCGGCATTGCCAGCGGAGCAGCGCCGGCAGGGGGCAGGAGCGAGACTCACCTTGCGCATCCCAGCAGAGTCCGGCGATGTTTCTCGCGGGCGTCTGCGAGGTCTGTCCTGCCGCATCAGCCGCCAAGGCAGTAGCGCGGGGGGGGGGGGGGGGGGGGAGCGAGGAGGCGACTCACCCTCTCCTCGCCCGTCGATCGTCGCAGTGACAGCGACCACGGCGCCAGTCGCTCGCCGTTCCTCCACGGCGTCACGGCGCCGTTGTAAGCGCGCACAATGGGCAATGCCTCCTCCCACGCCTCTTGCAACGCCGCATTCGCCGCTCTTCTCGTCTCGCGCAGGCGTTGAGCCTGGGCTGCCATTGAGCCGCTCTGCGCATACGACGCAGCAGGTGCGCCGGCGCCTGCCTCTGGTGCCAAGTCAGGCTCGGCGAGCGTGGTGGCGTCGGATGTGGTCAGGCGAGAAGTCGTCGTGGTCGTGGTGGTGATGCGCGTGGGAATGCCGTGCTGCCAGCTGAACGCCGGCGCGGCGGTAGCGCTCCACTCTCCTCGGCTGCCGCCCGCGGCGTCTGATGGCTCGCCGAGCGACTCGCCCTCGCGCGCGGCAATCATCTCCTCCTCGTCGTCGGCGCGGGCCCATGCCGAGGCATGTGAACCTGCACTTGCAGGGCGCGATTCATCGGCGGAGAAGGGCACGCCCAGGCGGTTCGTCTCGACAAAGGTGGACGTCTCGACGACGTGGAAGTAGTTGCAGCCCTGATGCGTGCACACTGGCCGTCAGAGATGCGAGACAGACGCGCAAAGGGGAAGCAGAGTATCTGACCTCGGTGTATGCCAGCAGGTCGCCTCGTGGACTCCACTTGACGACGCGTGCGGCACCGGCGCCGAAGAGGGCGCTTTGCGAGGTGCGCAGCTGAGGGACTCTGACGTCAGCCGCGAGCGGGCGCTTCAAGGCCTTGGCAATGGCCACGTACCTGCTTGACGCAGCGGCTGCTGCGCACATCCCACACGCTCACGACACCGTCCTGCGAAGCTACGGCGCTGTCGAAGGAGGCACGCGCGTCAGCCTTTTTAGATGAAAGGAAGGAGAGCAGAAGAGAGAGAGAGAGAGAGAGACAGACGCACAATTTCGTGCCATCGGGACTCCAGTCCGTCGAAAAGCTGGCGTCGGACGCAGCGTACGTGCTGATCCACTCCCACTGCCCCGTTCTCGACACGACGCCCGCCGTCATCGCAGCAGCCAGGCCCGCATGACTGGCGCCCGCAAGCCCAGCGCGAGCTTCTTCGCCGCAAGGCGCAATGGCAGGGCTCATCTTGTAGAGGAAGACTTGAGACGTGTCGCCCACCGCCACGAGAGTGGTGCCGTCGGGAGAAAGACTGGAATGATTGATGGCAGTGGGGAAGGAGAGCTCCTGTAGTCTGTGGCGCGTTGTTCGTTGGCGGCCGTCTCAGCTATTCTGCGCCAGCGTCCAGAACCCCCCGCGCAAAGCCCGCGAATGAGGAGAGGCAGGGACTCACCGACTCAATCCTGGTAATGTCGCCTCAAGCCGTCTACTGGCTCCTCCTGATCCTCCATCACTAGCCTCCAAAGGCACTGCAGCAGCACCAGGTCTGAGGCGAAAGCACCGCAGCGACTTGTCGTTGTTGGCCACGAAGAGCAGCGCGCCAGCTCTACCTTTCTCCTTGGTGGGCAACGCGCGTCGCGCCTCTGCTGCGGCTGAGCTCGAGCTCGACGCAGAAGCAAAAGAGGCAGAAGAGGAGGGGTTGTAGATGCAAATCGAGTTGTTGATGCTGCCGCCCGTGGGCGTGCAGAGACGCCAGCGTTGGAGGAAGGCCTCGCTGCGAGTGCCGCCGCTGCCGCTGGACTGGGCAGCACTGCGACTGCCCGGCAAAGGCAGCAATGGCCGCAGGGCCAGCTCGGTGTTCTGGCCACCTGCAGCGACCAGGCCAGCACCTGTCTTGAGACAGACGGGAGCGAAGGAGAGAGAGGCGTAGACGCTGCTGCTGCCCGAGGCGGCGGCGCTGACGTCGGAGGAAGCAGCGGCGGAAGACGAGGTGGAAGCGGCGGAGCGAGTGGTGGAGGAAGAGGGAGAGGGAAAGATGAGCTGCTGGATCGTCGTGCCCTGCACTGCACACAGGCGTTCTGCAGCATCAGCAGCAGGACGAGGCGAGGAGTTGGTGCTGCACACGCACCGTAGAGGACGGAGTTGGGCTCCGGTCCAAGATGCAGTAGGTCCTGCAGACGTGCCAGCAGAAGGGAGCGATGGGGCATGAGCAAAGCGCTCTTGCAGGCCGATGCCCTGCGAGTCCGCTCGGGTACGCACGCGCAGCTCCGGATGATGAATGTCGACCCGTGCGGCGAGCACGCAGGGCGTTGGATGGAGCAGCTGCCGTGTCCTGTGCGCAGCAGAGAGAGGCCCCACAGGTCAGACGTGCCACCGCAAGAGAAGCTCTGTGCTGGCAGCTGCGGCGCCGACGAGACGCACTTGCCTGCCGCTGCGCCACTGCCACTGCCGCTGCGCGACGCCTCGGGCGGCGAGAGCGTCATGGCGCGCGCCTGTGCGCTTCGCTCGGCCACGAATGCCGCCTGGCTCTCGCACAGGCGCAGCGGGCGCAGAGGGCGAGGGTCGCGAGGCGGCGCAGCTACGCGCGACACTGATGCGGCTGCAGCACGGGCACGAGGCAGCTGGGCAACAGAGGCGTGAAGGGCGGGCAAGAGGTGAGCGGGAGGTGAGCGGGAGGTGAGGTGCGCGATGCGGGGCAGCGCGCAGGAGCCGCCGCGCGCGCTGTTTGTGGAGCGGCCGCTTGTGCTGGGTGCTGCTGCGCCACCCCTCCTCGCCTGCTGCTGCTGCTGCTGCGCGCCAAGGAGCACGGCTGGCCGGCGGCCGCCAGTCGCAGCGGCGTGCAGGCGCTGCGCGCCCCGCTGCTGTTCCCACGCGGCGCTTGCGGTGTTCAGAGGGGCGTGTGAGGCAGAGAGGTGCCGCGGCTGCTGGCGAGGGACGTGCCGGCGGCCGGCGTGCCGAACGTGGGGCGCCGTGCCGCTCGCGGCCTGCCTCTCGAGGTGGAGTGGAGCCGAGCCGCGGCGTCTCTCTTTGCTGCTCCATCGGGCCACAAGGGTTTGCTCGAGTCAGAGTCAAAGCGCGGCAAAGAGGCCACGATAAGCCCTTGCTACTCAACCACCACCTCCTCTCTTCTCAGCATGTCCGCCGCCGCCGTCTTCGGGCAGCAGCACATTGCACGCGGCATCGGCCGCCTCTCGGAGCATGTCCTGCAGCGCGGCGCCGGCAGCTGGGTGTGGACGGACGAGGGCGTGCGGCTGCTGGACCTCACCATGGGCATCGGCGTCGTCGGCTGCGGCCACTGCCACCCCGTCATCACCGCCGCGGCCGTCGAGCAGATGGGCATGATCCAGCATGCGCAGGTGCGTCGACGCGACTCTTGCGTCGCCGCGTGCGCCGCGCGCGCGAGGGCCAGTGCCGAGACTGGGCCAAGGGGCTGTGCACCGAGATAGACTGCCTTGTCACCTGGCAGGACTGCCTTGTCACCTGGCAGACATACGGCGCTGCTGGCACCGAGACGCATCGCCTTCTCTCATCAGCCAGTCTGGCGCTGACTCCCTCGCTCTGTCTGACAGGTCAACATCGGCTACTCGGCCGCCTACATTGCCTTTCTGCGCGCTCTGCTGCCCAAGCTGGCGCTCGCCGATGCGTCGCTCGACTCCGTCTTTCTCTGGAACTCGGGCGCCGAGGCCGTCGAGGCGAGCATCAAGCTGGCACGTGCGGCCACGGGCCGCCAGAACGTCATTGTCATGCAGGGTGCGTTTGCGAGGGTGGGCGCGCATGGATGGGCAGTGCGGGCCAGCGCTGGCTTGCGAAGTCCATCAATGCCGGCCGCCTCGGGAAGCTGACCCGCGCTTCTCTCTTGTGGCTGCGAGCAGGCTCATACCATGGCCGCACGATGCTCACGGCGGGCATGACGCGCAGCAAGACGGTGTATGGCGCCACCTTCCATCCTCTCGTCGTGCGTGCACTGCCTCTCCCTCTTGCCGCATGCCTTCTTCGCCACTGACGCCTTCTCGATGTCCACAGCCGGGCATCTACTCGACGCCCTTTCCCTTCTACGCGCAGCACGGTGTCGGGCCCGACGTGTCGGAGGACTTCCTGGTGCAGCAGTCTCTGCATCAGCTGCACCTCTTGCTCGCTCAACAGACTGCTCCTCGCGACACTGTACGTTGCCTGCCTTTTTCCCTCCTTCGCCTGCTCTCTCACTCACCTTGCGCTCTGTGCTACAAATGCAGGCGGCAATCATTCTCGAGCCCGTGCTCGGCGAAGGTGGCTACGTGCCGTGCCCCTCGGCATTCCTTCAGGGCCTGCGCCGCGTCTGTGACGCACACGACATCCTCCTCATCGTCGACGAAGTGCAGTCGGGCACAGGTCGTACAGGCACCTGGTGGGCCGTGGAGCCTTCGGGCGTGCGCCCCGACGTGCTCATCTTCGCAAAGGGCATCGCCAATGGACTGCCGCTGAGCGGCATTGCGAGCAGGAAGGAGCTCTTCGACAAGCAGGACCCGGGATCCATGGTGGGTTGCGCTCTCGTGCACACTCGGCTCCGACGCTCCACACGCCAGTGAGAGCACAACGCTGACCGCTGCACGTTTTCCTGTCAAAGGGCGGAACATACGCTGGCAACGCGGTGGCGTGCGCTGCTGGAAAGGCAGTGATTGAGGTGATGGACAACGAGAAGGTGCTAGACAACGTCGCAGCCCGGTGCGTTTGGGCCTGAACCCCCTCTTTGTCTCTTCCAGCCTTTCTGATCCAACGCGCCTCCGCGCGCCTCTGCCCACAGCTCCAAGCAGCTGTTCGCCTTCCTGCACGCGCTGCGCCGCAGCCCAGCCGGCTCGTTGATCCAGGACATCCGCGGCCGCGGCCTGATGGTCGGTGTGCAATTTGTGCTGCCTTCCACACAGGCCGCCATCTCTGCCTCTTCGGCCTGTCCCGCCACGGGTGCCTCTGCCTCCTCCTCCTCGCTCGCCGAGGCAGACAAGAGCATCAGCGCCGCCTCTGCCAACGCCACAGTCGCTCGTCCACACGAGGTGGGCCTCCAGGCGCGCGCCCAAGTCGCGCCGAGGATCGTCAAGAAGTGCCTGGAGAAAGGCATGCTGTTGCTTGCGACCAGCGTGTAAGTGTTTCTCTCTCCCCCTTGCATCCTGCTCCGCCCTCTTCTCTCTCCTGCACTGTGCCGCGCGGGATGCTCACGCCATGCCCTGGCTCGAAACACAGCTTCGATGTGCTGCGCTTCATTCCTGCCCTCACCATCTCCGAGGAGGAGATGCAGACTGCATGTGACATCTTTGAGAGTGCGCTCAAGGAGGTGTACGAGGACGTCAAGGAGCTCTGAGCGCCTCCCCC